TTGAGGTTGATTTCAGTTATTTTGTGTATTTGTTTTCATCCAATTTTTGAAAAATGAAGTCTACTCAGGTTAATCATTTGAAATCAGGAGAGTTATCTTATGAACTTTTCATAAGAGGTAAAAATGTCCCAAATAAGACAGTTGATGATAAGAGAAAGATGTTAAGAGCTTTGTTGGCCATGGAGGCCACTTCGTCTTCAAGTTTAGTCGATTTGGTTAGTAATGTAGTAGATCCTGAGACAGAGTTGTGTGAGATTAAGTTGATTATGGAAGATTTATGTATTAGTGCTCAATCAATAAATGTAGAATCAACCAAAGCTGATTTTGCTAGATTTGAGACAAGGTCTACACATTTAGATAGCAGATTAGAGAATTTCCCTATGAATGATGTTGAGGAAGATGTTAAAAAGTTTGTCAATGAGTGTAAAGATGATTTGTTGTTGTTGCAGGGTGATGTGTTAGAAAAACTAGAATTATCTGATGATTTAGTAAAACCATCCACTAGTAGCCCAGTTTCAGTCCCTGTAGTTCCCAGTTGTACAGTCCCAGCCTCAATAATACAAGTTTCAACTCCTGTCATTATTTCTGATTTACATATCAAGTTTAATGGTGAGAGTAAAGCCCTTCCCACATTTTTAGAAAAAATTAGAGATTCTGCTAGGTCTCGGAATATTTCCGAAGACATCCTATTTAGGTCAGCCATTGAGTTATTTGAAGGTAATGCTGCTATTTGGTATAGGAGTGTTAGAGATAAAATTAATAGTTGGGATGAGTTGGTAGCCCTACTCAAATTTGCTTTTTTACACCCAGATTATAATGATAATCTCTTGAATGAAATTAAAAAAAGAAAGCAAAAAGGGAACGAATCCATAACCATTTATTCAGCAGTGATGGAAAATCTTTTTAAACGTTTGGAAACATATCCTAGTGAAGCCAAAAAGTGAAGATAATGAGGAAAAATATTTTAGTGGATTACATTCCACTGATAGCCCTTCAAGATTTTGCTACAGTAGAAATGTTAGTAACAACTATAAAACGTTTAGAGCAGAATGTCCTGCCCTTGTTGCAGACTACTAAAGGTCTTGCAGGTATTTCGATTGATGATTCAGAAAAGCCCAAAGAACAAGTTCATGTGGTGAATAATCAAACCAAGCAAGATAGAAGTGGAGTAGGTAACAGACAGGACAGAGAAAATTCTGTATCTAGGAAACCCAATCCCAAATTTAAGTATGAGAATAATAGACCCAGTCCTCCAGAGAATACTGGAATAAGAAATCAGTCTTTTTTGTCCCCACCTCCAATGATGCAATCTTTTTCGTCCCCACCTCCATTAATGCAGTCAGTCCCTTATCAAGCTCCAAGAAATCCGAAAAAGATTATTTGTTTCAATTGTAATAGATCAGGTCATATTTCCCGTGACTGTAGAAGTAAATCAGTATCTTGTTGGCGTTGTGGTCATAAAGGTGTGATCACATCTTCTTGTCCTAAGTGTAGTATTTCGAATAGGTCTAAGACCAATAGACCTTATAGGCCATCATTGAACCCAATTTTTGAAAAGAAAGATTTTGATAGCCGTCCCCATGTTAATTGTTTAGAAGATGATGTAGATAGAATAGACCCTTGGTTTGATAATTTGAGATCAAAGATACTCCGATCCCCCTTGATTTCCCACAGTGGAAGGTAGAGAATGATTTTGTTTATAAGTTTGCTCCTACCAAAAATTCTTTTAAGACTAATGATGTAAAGTGGAAAATTCTTGTGCCCAAACAACAAAGGTTTGAAGTTATGAAGTCTTGTCATGAGCCACCTACGTGTGCTCACATTGGATTTTCCAAAACTTTGTCCCGTATTCAGGAAAGATATTATTGGCCCCAGATGCGTATTGATATACTTAAGTTTGTCAGGTCATGTAAAGTTTGTGATGCTCAGAAGACACCAAATTATGCTCCATTAGGTAAAATGGGTAAGCAGAGAGAGGCCAAGTTTCCTTGGCAAATAGTTGCAATAGATCTGATAGGTCCCTTTGTTCGTTCAAAGAAAGGTTATACGTGGTTATTAGTAGTTGCTGATTGGTTTAGTAAATATACTTTAGTCCAACCTTTGAGAAAGGCCACGGCTAAGAATATTGTTGAGTTTTTGGAAAATGATGTTTTCCTAATGTTTGGTGTTCCTCAATATGTGATTTGTGATAATGCCTCAAATCTGAACAATCCTCTCTTAATTGAGCTCTGTAATAGGTATAACGTTCAGAAAGTATGGTTTAGCCCAGTATATGCACCTCAGTGTAATTCTGTGGAGAGGAACAATAGAACCATTGGTACAGCAATACGTACGTATGTTAAAGATCACGTAGATTGGGACAAGAATTTAGCAAAGATCAGACAAGCTATTAACACTGCAAAGCATGAAGTGACTGGATATACTCCAGCTTTCCTGAATTATGGCCGTCATGTTCCTTTAAGTGGAAACTATTATGGTGTTGATCATAAGGATCGACATAATCAAGATATCGAGATAATTCCAGGTGACCGTAACATGTATGCTTCAGAAGTCAAAGGTTTAGATAAAGTTTTTGAAAAGGTTAAGGCTAATCTTCGAAAAGGATATGAACGTAACGCTAGGAGTTACAACTTACGTAGAAGAGAAGTCCAATTTCAAGTGGATGATAGAGTTTGGAAAAGAAATAAGGTTTTGTCTTGTGCTGTCAACAAGTTTATGTCCAAACTAGCACCAAAGTATATTGAAGCAACTATCAAGGAAAAATTGTCACCACTGGTTTATCGTTTGTCAGATTTAAATGGTTCAGATCTTGGTAAGTGACACATTAAGGATTTAAAGCCTTTTGTATCAGATGAGGACAATATGTCATCTTTAAGTAATTAGTTCATCCTATCCCATGTCTATATATTTGAGTTTGTATGTTGATTTGATTTCATCCCTTTGGAATATTGTTTCGCTTTTGATAATTTTAGTTCAGGTAAATCTATTTTGATTGAGAGACACATGTGAGAATCACATTTTGTCATATGTAGGTATATAGATTTAGGGTCTATATCCTAATTTTTTGTAGAACCGTTGCCGAATTCCCTGTCTCGCTAGGCGTATAGTGGAGATAGTAGACGCCTACCTGTTAAGTGTAGAGCAATTTTTTTGGATTTGTGTAATAGCACCTGATTTAGGCAACGAGGTGTCATGGCTATGCCTGCCCGACAAATCACTTGTGTTACTGCTGTGAATGTCAGCGAGGTTCACTGCAGGGCATAAGGTTAGCTTCCCCCAAGGCATAGAAACTCATGTCACCTACAGTTCATTTTAGAGTCAAACATTTCAGTCTACTCGACTTTAAAGAGTCTGGCGATCGATGGCACGCTAGCCCATTCTTTGTAACTAACTTTGTTTTTGTTGTTTAATCCCATGCTAGCCATCATCTAAAAAGATATTATTAAGAAGTTTCGACTCAGCTAAGAGGTCATCTTCTGATTTGGTTTTTGTTGTTTTGCCTTTATCAAAAACTGGATAAGAATTATCCGAGTTTTTTCTTTTAAGGAGGGGCATTGTAGCGTTTTTTTATTTAAAGTGTATAGAAAAGATTCTGTGGTACGTCCCTGTTGTTTTGGCCAAGAAATCGATCGATTTAATATAACTACGGAGAAGTTAAATGTAAATATTTCAAGTTTTTTTGACTAGATTTCTAAAATGCGTAATAACACTGGATATATTTTTTGTCTGTGTTTTAGATTCAAATATCGAACCTTTTTGTTACAAGTCAGGTAAAACTCAACTTTAAAATACGCACGTATTTTGTTAATTTGTATTATGTAAATTTATGATGCCCCCTGATAAAAAAAGGTTTTATTTGTTTTCTTCGTTTAAAAACGAAATAAACATGAATTCCCCTAATATTAAAATTGTTTTTCTTTATTAGACGAGGGTCAAAAAAAGAA